GTCCAACCAAATGGAAGTTTAATGATTATGCTAAATAGATGAATGAATAAGCCTAGGTAACTTTTAACATAGTTTTACAAGCAAGCTGTTGCAGGGTATAAACATTTAATATAGACCTACCATAATCGTGTAGCCTATACTGTAGATTTTGATTGTATAAACGTCTAGGACCCCCCCCCTTAAGTAGGACTATTTAGCCTACTTTTAATTTCCAGTATTTTTTACATTTAAAAAGTGAGCTTTGATTTTTAAACACAAACTGTGAATTACCATGGCTTCTGTAAACAGTTTACCCAATGAACTTCTACTTGAAGTGTTTTCGCACCTTGATATCTACGACATCACATTTTCTGTCATGTTTGTTTGTAAGCGCTGGAACATTGTTGCAAGGGATTCAATGTTGTGGAATAATTTAGTTTTTAAGGTAGGCAGAACTAAGCCATGGGATTTTAACTTTAAGGGTATTATTCAACATTTAAAATGGTTGAAGCATGTTGAATTGCAGTGGAGAACAGACACAAATGATATTATTGATGCATTAGTTAAATTTTGCCCATGTTTAGTTGGATTAAAACTAGTATGTTGCGGTGACATAGATGCTGACACCACAAAAAAATTGTCTGATAGCTATACTGACCTAAAAGTATTAAGTTTTCGCAATAGTTATAATATACCAAGACAATGCCTTGCTGACATTGTTTTTCTACCCAACCTCACGGAACTAAATTTATCACACACCTTGTTGACCTCAGATCAGTTCAGGTCGATATCCGAGGCATGCACTAAAATTGTATCACTTGATATTGATTATGTCAGAGGTATTCAAGAAGATGATCTGGTCGTGTTTCTTTCTCCAAGGTATAATTGTCTAGAATCCTTGTCTGTTTGTGGGGAGCTTTTCACTGACATAATATTCCAATACCTGGAAAAATGCTGTAAACTCAAACTTTTGCACATTTCTTCCTGTAAAAATATTTCAGATACTTGCTTAATCAGTGTTGAAAAACTGAAAAGCCTGAAATCTCTAACTCTTAAAGGAACTACAAAATTGTCCGCCATCGCACTAAGGAACTTTTATTGTCACTCTGATACTGTAAGAAATGTTTCAAAATTGTACATTTCTGCAAAAAGAAAAGTAAACAACAATGATATGTCCGTGTGGTATAACAATTGTTCAAACATTAAAGAAATACATCTGGATAAATATTGTTACTGTGTTTTAAAACAACATGGTTTCATGGTTGATAGGGTGGATGAATCATTCTAATCTTAAGATGGCGGCTAAGTAAATCGTTGTATCAATTATGTTTTTTTGGGTTTTCTCAATCTCAATTTGATTTCAAATTTAATATAAATATATTGTTTGGACTTAATCTCCGACTCCTGTAAATGTTGTGGTTTTGTCTTTGATGGATTGCTACCAAATAAATGACTTTGAATTTGATAGTTATGAAGAATTTTCTTTAACAACACCCTTTAATACTATCATAACATTTATAATCTATATAAGTAATATTTAATTTTACATACTTGTTGATTGGTGGGTTTGTGATATTATTGTGAACTAGTTTTTGGATGGAGGGTACTGGACAGAGTTCAAACAAGTTGTTTATAACTTGAGTACTTTTTTATATATATAGTTGTTAGCCCCCGTCCCTTAAATGCAATACAGCTATTTAAACTTCTTTTTGGGACCATTCCCAAGAGTGAAAAAGCGTGGGGCAGCAAGCCTGAAATGTAGCGGAGAGCAATGCTCATTTTTTTGCTAGCGGTGTTTTTCATGTTGAACTTTGAGAGTAGCGAGTCAAGAGACTGGTTCACAGTAGTTTATAATACACCTAAATTATCCTAATGAGGGTAAAATGTACTGATTTTGTGAAGAGATTTCGCTAAAATATTAAATAGGCAAGTCTAGATAATATTTCTGGTCGTGTTTGTAGTAAACCTTTTACTTGATGAACCGCATATTGAAACGCTACATAAGGAGATACCGAACCTTTTTGATGGGAATAAAATATATTGTAACACATTATCAATTATCATATTAAACAGGGTCTCCGAAAAAGAATTCCGGAATTTTGAATGACCGTTGCTTGGGTACAGATTTAAGATAAAACACTTTATAAGTTAAATTCAAGGGAAAAACTAAATTTTTTCATACTTTGATAAAATGCTGAAAAGTTTAATGGAATTCGAATGGTTAGTCAATCTCATATGAGCACTGGCAAAGTCTGTACACTTGGGGCTCAGCGGGTTTAATCTAATATCTATCATATCTTAACTGAATTTTGTAGGCACAACTCTAGACCCACAAATTCTAAATCTTCTACACATTTCTTTGCAACTCTCATTCAAATGATACCATGATACTAACCATGAACAATTTCAGATTCTTAGACAAACACAGCAATAGGTACACGATTGGCCCCAGCCTATGCTTATCTTTTCATGGGTCTATATTACTGTAGAGCAAAATATTCTTTCAAACAATTCTTTAACTCTTCTTCTTTGGCCAAGATGTCTACATGATATCTTCATTGATTGGAAACACAGAATTAATTCACAAAAAAAGTTTCTACAAGATTTAATCCAATTTTCTTGCTTGAAATCCACTTGGAGTTATTCAGGCATATTTGTTTATTTCTTAGATGGTGATCTCTTCATTGACAATCACAAACTTAACCCTTCCCGGATGGGCACAATCGTGACATAGAACGGGAAAAAATTATAGGAAATAATAAAAATTAATTTTTGTTATCTGTGTTTTGTTTTACAAGGATACATAAAATAAACACAATGGAACACCTCATACTGTCTAAATAATTTTTTACTCGTTTTTAACTATGCGGATATATCCACTACCCGTCCGCGGATGAGTAGAAAAGCAGCGGATATATCCGCCACCCGTCTTTGAAGATATGACCATGACAACGTTGGGCAATAAATAAAGAACAATATGTAAACAATAAATAAAGACAACTTAGTGTTGAGCACGAAACGACGAGGGGGGAGCGGGGGACACCGAAACTGCCACGACCTTTTATGATCATGCTCCATTCATACCGAAACTGCCACGGCAATTAGTGAGGATTATAAGGGTGTTTTCAAGAGGGCTAGAAACACTGAAACTGCCACGGCGGATTCCCCAGATAGACGGGTAGAAACGGGAGACTTATAATTCCTATTTCTGTCTAAACCTTTTAATTTCTTTCACAATAATACGTTGATTGGAAAAATACGTGATTGATTTGCCCTTTCGTATTTATATTTTAGGAGTTATTTTTATGTTCATTTAAGTTTTTGGTGTTGCGACTGATAGAGTATTTACTTTATAAGTATTTATTCCGTCTCCTGAGAATATATTTATTTTAATGAATAATTATTTACCACTAAGAAACAAGTTTTATGTTCATTTACCACTTATATAATAATGTATTATATAATACTGTATTATACTGTATTATCTATTCGACGCTTTTAATTACACTAGAGGTGATCAAATACTAATATAATACTGTCAAACTGTAATGTTCAAAAATATTTTTATCTGCTCAAGACGCTAGATTGCAGAACTACAAATACTGTACCAACCTCCAAGCCCTGCAGAGAGGTGGTCACGCGGAATCTCAGTGGAATGCCCTCCTATTCACTTGACTCATGTAAGGGGTATATTTTTAAAATTCGGTTTTTCTCAACAGTTTTGTGCTATCCTTCAGAGAGTTAGTAGTAAGGGTGTTGGTGTGTTAGTTATACTAAGTTGATAGTCTTTTGATGGAGGATAAGGCATTTGAAACGAAAAGAAGGGGTGCGGCGTTGTTAGTAGACGGCTACTGTTTTGTTATACAAAGTGTGTACAATCTTAATAAACAAGAAAATACCTTTAAAGCATTTTTTTAGGCGCGGAAACCACTTCAAATTACAAAAACATACGGAACAATATTCTCTAAACAAGGAGCACATTTCTTGCCGAGGAAAAATAGCGGAGTGATACGGAACGGACTGGGTATTACTTTCTCTAGGGCACCTATTTGTGTTGCCAGCTGAACCTAAAAATGTGTTGTATAGTGTTTGAAAGACTAATTCTTTATATGCTTTATAGTGACTGTAGGGAAAATATAATGTGTAACACGAGTGCAAAAGGCCTTTGCTGCACTCGAGATAACATGGTAAACATTGCTCTCGTGTGCAGCAAAGTGCCACTTTGCCCACTAGTTACACAAATAACTATTCCAGACCACCACGTGTTATTTGTAAAAGTCCATACAATTTTAAAAATATTTTAGTGAGACCCAAAATTCAAAATTCTTAGCCTTCAAACAATTCTAAAAACTACTGTGAACCATGTCACAACCCCCCCCCCCCCCCCCCCCTCCGATGTGGTCTACAAAATTATGAGTAGTACAACCGAATTCGATAGCAAAGTTACAAACAAGGTTTTTCCAAAGGTTGGTAGATCAACTGTGAAACTCACAATGTGAACAGACTTCGAACTTATTATACGAGTTCGAATGACAGGTCATCGTTTTGATGTGGAACATGAAGACAAAACAATACTAATTTATAATCATGCCGCTCATCATAACCAAAAGTTTGGCTTCTATACCCTTAAAGCCCTTAACAAAGTAAACCCACATCAAAACCCTAAATGCAATCACCTGGAAATTATGAATTGGCTCACCAGTTGGTACTTAAGAGCCTTATTATGCGCGGCCACTCGAGTCACGCGCGACCGTGACTGCCAGTCGCTTGGGGTAGCGACAGGTGTGGCGAGGTCACGCGTCTAACCAAATTTTATACAGACTTGCATGCAGTTTCTCAGAGTGAATAAGTAAAGAAGTTGAACTATTTATTTTACTTTTACCTACTGTTTTACTTAGGTACCGGCCTCCATAAAACGATAGTTTTATAACAATGAACACCAAATTGTGCAAAAAACGGAGCACTGAAGAATATTTTGGATATTATTTACAACTATTTACAGGTTTTCTAAGTTTTATGGCTTAGTTTTGAGGGAGAGGGAACACTTTAACAACTGGTCTAGTAAGGTAACCGTGTTGAGTCTTCAGATCAACAACTCTGACTTGTCCATCTGTGCCAGGATGCAACTGTGTGACACGGGCTAAGGGCCAGGACAAAGGAGGCAATGAAGAGTGAATCAAGACTAGATCTCCAACTTTTATGTTTTCTGTTTTATGACTCCATTTGGATCGTTGCTGGAGTGTATGAAGGTACTCTAGTTGCCAGCGCTTCCAAATCCTTTGGTGGAGAGCTTGTACTAGGTGCCATCTTTTGAGCTGAGTTAGTGGAATATCAGCATGGTCTTCTTCTGGAATTGATGCCAGCGGAGATCCTATGAGGAAATGTCCTGGAGTGAGTGCTGAACAGTCATTAGGGTCGTTAGATAATGGTGTCAAGGGACGGGAATTGAGGATTGCCTCTATTTGTGTAGTCAGAGTCATGAATTCTAGGAGAGTAAGAATGTGTTCACCCATGACACGGCGCAGATGGTATTTGAAACTTTTCACTGCTGCTTCCCATAGACCACCTTGATGGGGCGAAGCAGGAGGATTGAAATGGAAATTTATTTTCCTGGATGAAGTGAAATGCAATAGTTGTTCTTCAGATTCTTTGGTGTGCAGGGTGTTTTTGATTGTTCGGCGCAGTGCAGAATCAGCGCCTACGAAGTTCGTGCCACAGTCGGAATAGATATCTTTACAGAATCCTCTTCGGGAGATGAATCGTGTGAGTGCAGCGATGAATCCCTCAGTTGTTAAATCTTCTACAACTTCTAAGTGCACTGCCTTTGTCACAAAACAAACAAAAACACTGATGTAGGTTTTGATATGACGCATTCCGCGAAGATTGACAACTTTCATGTCAAAGGGGCCACAATAGTCAACGCCACTGGTAGTGAATGGTCGAGCTGGAATTACTCTTGCGGTAGGAAGATCTCCCATGAGTGGAGTGATGTTCTTTGGTTTCACTTTGAAACATTTTACACATTTATGAATACGTGTCCGTGTGACTCGACGAGCCGAAAGAATCCAATAGTTTTGGCAAAGGATTGCTTGAGTCAGTTGTGGTCCGGAATGTAAGTGAGTAGTGTGGACAAAGTCTATGAGAAGATCAACGATATGGTGCTTCTTTGGAAGTACTATTGGGTGTTTGACGTTGAATTTCAGCGATAGCTTCTTAAGCCGGCCTCCCACACGAATTATGCCGGAAGCATCCAGAAAAGGGTCTAAACGTTGAAGATTAGAGGTACTGGGTTTGTTTTTGTGAAGTAGAGTCAATTCGTTCGTAAAACATGTAGCTTGTACACACTTGATGATCGTACGCTCTGAGTTCTTAAGTTCAGAGACAGTGAGATGCCCATGTCTTCGGTCAGAGCTACGTGCATTGTGGATAAACCGCAAGACATAGCTTGTTACTCTAAGTAGTTTGGACCACGATGAGTACTTTGAGAGAAGATCCCATTCTGGAGGTTGGGTTGAAACTAGGACATTTAGAGGAGTAGTTTTACATTCTTGAGTGTCTTGCAAGTTTATGGGAACGAAGCGATTAGATGGCCAATGATCATTTGAAAGAGTTAACCATGGAGGGCCATTCCACCATAGAGGATGATCAATGAGTTGAGCGGGAAGCAAACCACGTGACGCACAATCAGCGGGGTTGTCCGTTGAGGGAACGTAGCGCCAGGAGTGAGAGGGGATCAACTCTTTGAAATTAGAGTTGGATTCAAACTTTTGTTCAATTGAGTGAAGTCTATGTTCAGCAGCAGGTTTTAAAGTGCCCAGTGGCTGATGTTGGTTCTTGAAAGGGCTGGAGAGCGGGAGTGAGTTGATTTGAAGTGATCTTCAGCGATGCGATCGTCTTCAGAGATAAGATTGCACTGCGGTACCTCTTCTTGTTGCCAAAAGCGAAGTAGAGTATTATGTAGCTCGTCCGTAGTGGAGAGTAGAGATGAATGGCATGAGGTGGGAGAAGAGTTAGACAAAGTTGGTGCATTGCCCATTAACACAAATCCCAATCGTGTTCCAATAACGAATGGAAGGTTTGAGCCCAATGGGTAGGATTGATGAGTAAGAAGTTCTGGAAACAAAGCACCTCCTATGAGAATATCAATATTCTGAGGAATATGAAAGGTCGGATCTGCGAGGACAAGAGGTTTTACCAGTTCGTAAACCTCAAAAGAGAGTTGAGTACGAGGCAAAGGAGCGGAAATTCTATCTAGAATATGGAAAGGTTGATTTGAAGCAATTACTTCACTGCCTAGTGTGGATAGTTCTAGGAGTGCATGTCCCTTTGTCGAGGATTGCGATGCAGAGATTCCCACTATTGTGTGAGTAGAGCGGTTACGAGAGACGTTTAATAGCTGTGCTGCCCTCTCCGTCATGAAGTTAAGTTGACTTCCACTGTCGAGCAGACATCGAAAGACATGAGAGATTCCATTAGTAGCGGTAATTTTAATGAGAGCGGTGCCTAGAAGTACCGTAGTTGCAGGCTGAGAAATCGAGAGCGACATTTCTGGTTGAGCAGAAGCGACTACAGAAGGTGTAGCAGTTGAAGGTTTTGAGGGTTTGGCTATAGGAGGAGACTTTACAATATTTTCGAAGTGTAACAAGGTGTGGTGTTTTTGTTTACATTTTAGACATGTGCCTGTTGAGCGACAATCTTTGAGTGTGTGATTGCCAAGACATGAAATACATTTATTTTGCTCCTTTACAAGTTTGTAACGTTCGTTTGGAGATTTTTTAGCAAAAACCTTACACATGTAGATTTTGTGATCGGTTTTCTGACAGGCAAAGCATGATGGAAATGTCTTTACAGAAGTGGAGTGATCATCTGAGCTTACAAGTGCAGTATAGCGGGTGCTTGGTTTGGAGTAATTTTTACTAGATGTGAGGGCAGGCTTTGAATTAGCCTTGTGACAAAAAGTTGAAGAGTGTAGGTTGGCATCTTCACTGTTTGAGCATTCTTCATTGAGAAATTTAATGATTTCGTCCACAGATGGTAACGAATGAGTTTCACATGATTTGAATGAGCGGTAATGTTCAAGTTTTTGACGTAAATTTCTATCAAGTCTACGAAGCAAATGAGCTGACAGCAAAGGATTGTCATTGGTAGTGATGTCACTTTCTAAAGCAATAAGTGATTGTGTATGTTCCAGGAAATGATTTAGAAATTCACGTATTGATTTTGTATTTTCAGATGTGGCAATGGGAAGATCCAATATGGCATTTAAATGAAAAGAAGTTAAGCGTCTGTGATTGTGGTATCGATCGCGCAACAAATTGTATGCGATTTCGTAGTTAGATGCACCGATGTTTAAGTTTTTAATTAAATTTAGAGGTTCTTCAGTTAGACAGCTTAGTAGGTATTGAAATTTTGATACTGGAGACAGAGATGTGTTGAGGTGTACAGCGCTATCAAAAAGATTGATGAAATTAATCCACTCGGCTGAGTTTCCCGAGAAGGTTTTCAAGTCAAGTTGCGGTAGGCGGACAGGTTGCATGAAAGCAGTACAGTTAGAATCATTCACCATTTCTTGAGGGGGAGATTGAGGTTCGTCAACAGGGATTAGTGACTCTATAGTACTACAAAGATGGATACATAGTTCACCAATAGTGTTTTCATCATCATTTAGAATAATGTCATCGAGTTCTTCGTCAGAACAATGTTCTAAAACGCGCCTGAAATTTAGTTCAAAGTCGTCTCGCTTTTTCCTGATTTCATCTAAATAGTTATGAAGTGATTTTATTTGCACAGAGGATAGGTTGTTTGCTTTAGCACTTTCATTAATATAATCTATATTTTCTTGAATTTTTCCAAGCCTAACTTTGAATTGTTTGGTTAGTCTTTTATAAGTACAAACCTTAATCGGGGCTAGGTTCACAGGGGCCATAATTGAACAAAAATACAGTCAAAATACACAAGACACAAAAAGTTATTTCACTTCGTTACATAAAAAAATGAATTAGGCTAGTTCAACTTAAATAGTTTGTGGGCCTAAAACTCGGAACCAATCAACAAAAAATATAAACACTGAAGGATTGGTATAATGTTTACAAAATGACTATAATGTCACAGAGTCTTTCAGTCATTGGAGTAGGCCTATTAGGCTAATGTGAATTAGGCTACTGTGATCTAGAGAGTGAGAGAGATAGAGGTAGAGGGAGAGTACACAATATGCGGGAACGACAATATTGAGAGTTTATGAGGTAATGTTTGTCTTTAATCTTCACCAAAAGTCCACATAATTAATCCAATCAATTGGTTAATCAACAATCCGGCTCGAAGGACCAAAGATGTAGCGTAATCAAAAGGTTATTGTAGAAATAATAAAGTGGACTGTATATGGGTTATTAATTTAATTTTGACAACAGAAAATAATGGACTTTTGGTATAATTTTTAACACTGAACTATAGTTATGTTACCACTTTGACGTTATTAAGGTCTTGAAAGAAGATATGGTCGAATGTTGTTTCTAGTTGAGAAGATATATTTCATGAATGTCCAAATGTTCTCACGGTACACAGAATTTAGTCAAATTAAAAAAGGTTTATTTAATGAACACAAAAGGAAAAGGTAAATGAAATAAATCAAAATAAAAGGAGAGAGAAATGAATTATGTTACACAAAGAAACGATATTACAAGAGAGAAAAATTGCACTTTTTGAACCAGAATGTTTACCTTGGAATGTTTACATTTTCAAATTTTTATTATTGTATTGTTGTTGACATGTGGGGATTATTTTAATATGCTCATATGGTCAGCTGGCCTTTTACTGAACAGGCGTCGTAAACCTAGATGAAACTAAAGTATTGGGAGGCAATCCGTTACTAAAAGTAAGACCTTCAGGAGTATTTTTCAGTTTTTATATGATGATATCAGAGAGGATGACAAGATGTATTTTGGTTGTTTTCGGGAGACGAGATGTTCTTTTGATAACATATTAGGAAGAATAGAAGGCGACTTATCCGTATCGCATAAGAAAATGAATAATTTTATTTCAGCTACGGAGAGGCTAGCACTTACCTTAAATTAAATATTTAATGGTTTTAATTTGATATATTTCTAGATTTATATCAGATATATATTTATATATCTTATATATCTAGACTTTATATCTTAATTACCGGTATACAATATTAGCAGCAAAACTCGATGTTGCCTGGGTCAACATAGAATTCACAATAATTGTAATAATTAATTGAGTAATACAGACAGTGTCTTGAGCTTAATTAACTGATTCAAATGGTCAACATCTCAAATGAAAGCCTTTGTTTTGAGGGGTAGCCTATTTTAAGACCAAGACATGTAGAATAACTTAAATAGAAATAGAGTTACGTACTGTACCATTGATTGCAGATAAGTGTTAAAATAATATTAATTATATTGTTGATTCGTGATTCAGTATAGCGTGCTTCACATACGTCCAATCTTAATAGCTCAAAATTAAAGCTGGCATTTCACTGAAGGTTCTTAGACCAAAACATATAGGATAATGTAATCAGAACTGGCGCAATACCGCTTCTATTGAAATAAGAATTCGAAAAAATCTGATAATTTTTTTTGGTCGAGTAATACAGCACATACATGAATGATGACGCTTCGGTGGCAAATCTGTTCGTGAGACCTTTAAATTAAGACCAACATGATGAAAATCGCCCAGGTAGAAGAGCTAAACCGACTCGTAATAGAAAACCAATATTTGTTAATATATAGAAAATATAATTAATATAATAAAATGTTGAAACAAAAATCAAGACTGAGTCGATGGCAGAGAGTAGGGTCCGCTGTGGCCCGCGACTGTGGCTGCGCGTAATAAACAGCATATGACAACATGGCCCGCTGGTGACGCGACAGTCGCGTGGGCTCGCGACTAGTAGCAAGGGTGCGCGACTGGAGTGGCCAGTCGCGGCGACTGTCGCGTGTCTCGCCACCGCAGTCGCGTCGCTTAATAAGCTCCATATGATAACATGGCCCGCTAAAAGTGGCCTTTGAGCAGTCGCGGTCGCGCGGGACTCGAGTGGCCGCGCATAATAAGGCTCTTACGTTTCCTCTCTGGTGGAAAATTAAGATAGTAAATAAGTGATTGAACTCAGCTGAATTTTAATTTTCTTTTAGGCTGCTTATATTTTTCTTTTTATCTCTACTCAATCATATGTTCTCAAAATTCAACTATTTGTAAACTATGTTCATATTGATTTGTGTTTTGTTCACTTTTACATCCAAGATTTAATGCTTTACATTAGATTAATTTCCCTCTGCTTAAAAACGTTTGCACAATTATCCGCTCTGGTTCATGTTTCATTTTTCATAATTGTCTCAAGAACAATACTGTTTATAATAGTACAGTAGAGTCCCGCAAACTCAGCGTAATGTGGACTGGAGGGGTGCCGAGTTTGTGAAATGCCGGGTTATTGGGAACTAGAGTTAAAAATAAGAACAATACACTTTAAAATCATTTTAGCTGCCTTATTTATTTATATTTATATTACAAGTCAGTATTAAGTCATCAGATATCGTATAATAAATCCTTGGTACGAGTTGCGAATGATTTGACTTGAGCCCATGTTTAACTCGGACTCAAAAAATCCCTAATTTTCTGAGCCAGGTGATGGCTGAGTTATCCAGACTGCCGGGTTATCGAGTGCCGAGTTTGCGGGACTCTGTGTATAGGTAAAATAAATATATATAGGTAAATAAACATTTGAATGCATTTTGTTTTTGGCCTATAGAGACATCAAAATGAAAAAGTATATCAGTCCCGGCTCTAGGTATTACCGTGCCATATACAATTTTTTTTTAAGCTACTTCCCTATAGGGTAATTTGCTAAAACATTGTGTAATTGGTGTTTTCTGATTCCAGGTCACAGAATAATGATACAGCCAAGAAGGTCTTTGAGAACATTGTCTATTGTCTCATAGCGCCATAACTCCAAAAGTGATGTGAAATTTAACAGTGCAATCAAATAGAAAATTAACCAAGAAGCTAAATAAATTAGTGAATAGCCCTAGGTAACTTTAGCATAGTTTTACAAGCAAGCTGTTGCAGGGTATAAACATTTAATATAGACCTACCATAATCTTATGTGTACAACCTATACTGTACATTTTGATTGTATAAACGTCTAGGACCCCACCCCCCCTTAAGTAGGACTATTTAGCCTACTTTTAATTTCCAGTATTTTTTACATTTAAAAAGTGAGCTTTGATTTTTAAACACAAACTGTGGATTACCATGGCTTCTGTAAACAGTTTACCCAATGAAATTCTACTTGAAGTGTTTTCGTACCTTGATATCTACGACATCACATTTTCTGTCATGTTAGTTTGTAAGCGCTGGAACATTGTTGCAAGGGATTCAATGTTGTGGAATAACTTAGTTTTTAAGGTAGACAGAACTATGAGTCCAAGCGAATTTATGGGTATTGTTCACCATTTAAAATTCTTAAAGCATGTTGAATTGCAGGGGAGAACAGACACAAATGATATAATCGATGCATTAGTTCAATTT